TTTTCAATAAAAGGAGAAATGAAGGGGGGGGGTAGGAATTTATCTCCTCATCAGCCAGAATCCCAACACAAAAAATCCCCACACATGGGAATTTATCTTCACCTGGAAACCCTGATTAGAATGCAGTGATTAGTTTGAATTGTTGCTTGACTTCTGAGTAGCATTCATTCATCTAAACAACAGAGCTCTAGCGGGTATTTCAGATTCCTCTGCCTCCAGTCCTCTACCTAGTTAGGCTGATAGGAATAATCTTTAAGAACAAGGCTTTAGGTTATCTGGATAGCACAGCACTGAACATCCTATAAGATGATGATAAATAATACAAGCATATCATAAGCACTTATAAAATGATATGTGCTGACCTCATGCAATGCAAGATTAAACTCCAGTAATCAGGACCTAAAGGGCCATTTTTAAGACACTTAGTCCCTGCCATCAATCTCCTGCCTCTAGGACTGTGATTTGATCTGTGTAGCTGAGAAGAAAGTTAGTCACTGTGCAGGGTATTTGTCTCCAAATATCTGAGGAGAAACCATAAAAGCAAGACCTGAAAATTATTCAGCATGGTCAGTGGGGCAAGAGATTAAAGAGTTAAAATTGTGTTTTTCCAAGTGTTAGGCTTAGCTACATCATTAATGAAACAGCATGTAACAAAAGGTGAAACAGAGGGCATTCTCAAAACTCATCATTAAAATAATTTTACTACCTTGTATTTGTAGGCCAGTCAGTCAGGGATAGAAAGCTACATGCCTCCATATAGGATGAGTATCCAGAATTGGGGGGACAAGGTCAGGCAGTGTCACTCTGATTGGGATAATAAGAATTGAAAACAAAATAGATGGGGTTAGCCAACTGTGGAAATCTTTTCAGAAGCAACCAACCCTAAGAAATGACTTGAAAATGTGTTGCTAATAGGATGAAAGCAAGTCCCTAAAATTTCCCTAGGAAGATGCCAATCAAAATGTCATGCATTTAGGATCTGCCATGATCTCAGAATTGTTAGTTAGATTGGTAGTCAATAAGAGCTGGGATCTTACTTGCTGAGTGACATTGGGAAAATTTTTTGACCTCTTTGAAAATCACTATCTTCATCTGAAACATGGTAAAGGCTCATAACTACCTGACAAAATTGCTGTATTATATGAAAACGTTCATTAGAAAGTGCTTTGTAAATGACTAGAGCCTTAAAATATTAAGATGATAATGATGATAATGGAAGAAATGAAAATGGTCATGGACTGTAGAAAAAGGAGAATTTCAGTGTACATTTTTTATAATGTGATTGTGCCTAGGCCTCCCTGCCATGTTAGGATACTACTCTCCCCTGACTACCTCCTTTAACCTCAGTCACAATTACCAGTGATTTGTCATCAAAGTTCCCATTCATCTCAGAGTCATTCTTTCCAGCTGGAGACAAGTATTTTCCCTTACTTTACCAAGCCCTCCCCTTTCCTACTTTCAAGCACTTCCCACTTCTTTAATGAAAGGAGGAGGGATTGTGGTTCACTCTCCCCAATATCTTTCTCTTTCCCTACTACTTCTTTTTGCTTCTCACTCTCCAAAATACATATATATATATATGTAAAATAAGTCAAGTAAAAAATATATATGCCTTTGATTGGGGTTTCCTCATCCATAGGTGGGGCTAGCTCCAAAGCCAAAAAATATTAACATTTCTAAATATCTTGAGGCTCATAGTGTCATGATCCTAAGAGATCACCATTTTCTATCCAATGTGATGTTTTATCATGTGACTCTGAATTTTTTTCATGTACATAATCTTCTACTCATGCTTCTATCCCACTAGGTTTTTTTTGTAAGTCCCACAAGACTGTGTTCTCCATTGCCTATGCAGCGTCAATACACATAGTTCACTTTGATTGTTTTGGAAAACATTTGAGATAGGGTTCTGCAGTAGAAAGATTACCCCAAGGAATCAGGAGAACTGGGTTCAAGTTCTCAGACTATCATTAACTAGTAATGTGATCTTGGACAAATCATATTATTTGTTGAATATGAGTCTTTCATCTGTAAAATTGGTATGATCACTACTTCTCTGCTTGTCTCACAGAGCCATTGCAAGGATTTCACAGCATCCTACAGCTGTGCCTCTCATAGCATTTTTTACATTGTACTTCAATTTCCTTTTTACTTACCTGTGTTCTCAACTACAGTAGCAGTTTCCTGAGGGTAGGATCCTCTGTATTCTTCAGACCTGAAAGAAATCCAAGCATACACTAAGTCCTCAATGATATGTGTTGGAAAAAATGAGCATATGAATAAATAAGGTAATGATTGTGAAAGTGCACTGTAAATATAAACACTTATTCCAACTTATTTCAAAATATTCTACTGAGTCAAGTATTGTAAGTATCTGCCATACCCATTTTACAGATGAAGAAATATACTTCAAAGAATAAACTACAATGCTTTGTCCAAAGTGATACAATGAGTTGGTCAAGGAGAAAAGAAGAGAGCTTTCTGTCTCTTGATACCCTGTCTGGCTGATTTTCCACTGTAGCACACTGTCTCTAATTTTGCTATCAGTATTACTATTCTTATTGGTTGGAGTTTTTAGGTATCTTACCATAGGCCATGTGGGATGAGGTTGTGGTAGTGCCCAGTTTGGCCTGAGCATTTCAAAAACATTAGAATTTTTAAATTTTATTTTAATTGTTGTTCATGTACAGTTTTCTGCCTTTTACTCCCAACCCAGCCCACCCCCCACACCTCCCCACCTTTCTCCCATTTCCATCCCCTTTTATCTTTGTCCATGTGTCCTTTATACTTGTTCCTATAAACCTTTCCTCTTTTCCCCTGAAATTCCCTCCCCTCTCCCCTCTGGTCACTGTCAGCCTATTCTCCATTACAGTGTCTCAAAGACATTAGAATTTTAAAAAGTGCAAAAAGTGATTGTGCATGAGTACTATTTTGTATCTTTTTAAATCAGTTTACTTGTAAAGTAGTCCATTAGGCCACTAAATTCAGTGCAAGAGGACACAACTTTAGCAGAGTAGAGTTCAGTAAGAAACTGGTACCAAAAGATTGAAGTTAGAATTATTTTCTGGAGTAACTGTTTGCAGATAATCAGACAATTCACAGAAAGCCATGCTTTTCTAAAGCTCTTTAAACCACTTTTTCTCTCAGGAAACCAAGTAACTTGCCTTTGTTTTATTAAGAAACTGTTACCCTAGGATTTTTACAGCTATAATGGATAATAAAAGAGCAGCAATCACCTTTATGGAACAAGTGTAGGGCAGCTTTCAGGAGCCCTGCATTTGCAATGTGGTGTCTCAATCAATTACACTGAAATGCCAGCAGCTGTAGAGATGTTGTTACCATAGAAACACATAAGGAGAGCTTACAGAAGTGGACAACAGGACCTAAGCACCCCACATACTTCTATGTGAAGATGGTTCAGAGCATAATTATGCTGACTCATGCCATAGACAAATACCTGTTTTAATATACAGAACACAATCTCTGAAATCTTTTCTAAAGTTCCCTTTGGAGACTGTATTTATAGCAAATACACTAAGTAACCAAATGTAACTGGTCTTCATAAAAGCCCTGTGTGGGATTCAGTGCCATGTGAGAACAGATCATACTTTCTGTTCCACTCTCACCCACCTGCTCTAAGCAAGCTCCCATCTTTTCTCATCGAGATTCTTATAATAACCCATTAGGTGGTCCCCTTGCCCTATTTTTGGATCACCTACAACTCTTCCTTTACATTGTTCCCAGACTAATCTCTTTAAAATTCAAATATATTATTATGTAACTATATTATGAAAACTATGTCCAGCGGTTTCCCATTACTTCAGCCATATTTCCAAAGTATTCTGTGGTTCCACTGTCAAATACATTTGAGAAGTGTTTCTTAAAATATTCCCACTTCTGAGCATTCATTCTGCATTCCAGTATATTGAGTGCTCTGAAAAGAATACTATAAGAAACTGATCTGATTTTGCCCTGGCTGGATTGCTCAGTGGATTGAGCAGTGGACTGCAAACCAAAGAGTCACCAGTTTAATTCCAGTCTAGGGCACATGCCTGGGTTGCAGGCCAGGTCCTCAGTAGGGGACGCACAAGAGGCAACCACACACTGATGTTTCTCTCCCTCTCCTTCTCCTTCCCTTCCTTTCCCTTCTCTTCTCTCTAGAGATAAATAAATAAAAATCTTTAAAAATTTTGTTTGGCTTGTTTAAACCCAGTGCTTCCATTCTTATTTGACCACAGAATCCTCTGTCATACTACTTTTATCAATATGTTCAAAGCCTGATATACCAATTTATCAGTTTCTTCCAGAAAATCATTGGATAAGATGTTAATAGCTTATTCATTACTTAGACCCATGTTCTTTTTTACTTACAATTTACTGAGAAAAATTGAGTTTTTTAGCTTATCAACCTGAATTTTTATTAATTAATAAATTTTATTTTATAGATAAATTTACAATTCAGAACTGAATGGAAAGTACAGGAAGTTCCCACAAACTTCTGCCTGCGCACAAGCACAAACTCCCCCACTATGGATATCCGGCACCAGCATAGTACATTTGTTACAATCAATGAACTTACACGGACAAGTCATTATCATCCAAAGCCCATGATTTACATTAGAGTTCACTCTTGGGTATATCTCAAGTTTCATCCATGAATTGAACTTCCTCATCAGTTTTGAACCTCTACTGGTATTGCTCTTTTATTTAAAACAGGGGTATAAGTAATGCATTTTTAAGACTCAGGTTTTCAAGACTCAGTAAGGTCCTTTATAAAGAACTACTGCAGCCAGAACTTGGTTATATTGGGTTGGCCAAAAATTTAATTTAGATATTTCCATGCAATAAAATACACATTTTGGGTTTTTTTATTGTTGTTCAAGTACAGTACTCTCCATTTCCTCCCAACTACATACCTCAGCCCTACCCATCCCCGAATCCCACCCTCAAACCTACCCTCTTTGGCTTTGTCCATGTGTCCTTCATACATGTTCCTTGATAAAAATATGGAATGCTTCACCAATTTGCATGTCATCCTTGCACAGGGAACATGCTAGTCTCTGGGTTGTTCCAATTTTAGTATATGCGCTGCTGAAGCAAACACAAGACACATTTTTCCTGTTCACCCATAACTTTATTAATTTGGATATTTTGAGTATGTTGACTATCTCCTGTGTGGTAGAATGATGATTGTTCTCAATTAATGTCTCAATTTGATTGCTATTGACTTCAACTGTTCTACCTGACCATTGAGCATTGTTCAGTCAGAAATCTCCAAAATGAAACTTCATAGACCACTTTTTACATGTTCAATCAGTCACAGCACCTTCTCCATACACTGCACAATTTTTATTGTTTCAGTTGCATTTTTATCTTTATTGAAATAATAAAACAATATGATGAACATGTTGTGTATTTTCTTCCACCTTCAAAATTAAAATGGCTACACAAAAAATCACCAATTTTAACAAGTTTTTAAAATGCATGCTGATATGACGGCTGTCACAATACAATCTAACAAAGTTTTTTTTATTTTTTATTTTTATTACTTTTATTTAGTTATTTTTCAAGTACAGTTTTTTTTGTCTATTTCTCGCATCCCAGCCTCCCCCGCCCTTGCTTCCCACCTCCCTCCCATTTCCACCCCCCTTAGTTCTCGTCCCTGTGTCCTTCCTATTTGTTCCTCCAAATCCCTCCCCCTTTATCCCCTTAACTTCCCTTCCTTCTCCCCTCTGGTCACTGTCGCCTTGTTCTCTATTACGGTGTCTTTGTTTTGTTTTGTTTTTTTTTCTGTTTGCTTGTTTGTTTTGTTGTTTCGCTTCCTGCTAAAGGTGAATCATATGGTATTTGTCTTTCAGCACCTGGCCTATTTCACTCAGCATAATACTTTACAGTTCCATCCATGTTGTTACAAAAGGTAGTAGCTCCTTCTTTCTCTCTGCAGCATAGAATTCCATTGTGCATATGTACCATAATTTTTTGATCCATTCATTTACTGATGGGCACCTAGGTTGCTTCCAGCTCTTGGCTATTGTAAATTGTGCGGCTATGAACATTGTGGTGCATAGGTTCTTTGATATTGATGTTTTAGGATTCTTAGGATATAATCCTAGCAGTGGAATTGCTGGGTCAAAAGGCAGGTCGATTTTTATTTTTCTGAGAAAATTCCATACTGTTTTCCATAATGGTTGTACCAGTCTGCAATCCCACCAACAGTGAACTAGGGTCCCCTTTTCCCCACAACCTCTCCAAAATTTGTTGTTTGTTGCTTTGTTTATGATAGCCATCCTGACTGGTGTAAAGTGGTATCTCATTGTGGTTTTAATTTGCATCTCTCTGATAGCTAACAATATTGAGCATCTCTTCATGTGTCTCTGAATGTTCTGTATGTCCTCCTTGGAGAAGTGTTTGTTCAAGTCCTTTTCCCATTTTTTAATTAGGTTGGGTGTCTTCTTAGAGTGGAGTTGTGTAAGTTCTTTGTATATTTTGGAGATTAAACCTTTGTCTGAGGTATCATTGGCAAATATGTTTTCCCATACAGTTGGTTGTCTTTTTAATTTAATACTGTTTTCTTTAGCCACGCAGAAGCTTTTTATTTTGATGAGATCCCATTTATTTATTCTTTCCTTTATATTTCTTGCTCTAGGGGACATATCAGTAAAAAAGTTGCTGCATGAAATATCTGAGATTTTCTTGCCGATGTTCTCCTCTAGGACTTTAATGGTGTCACGGCTTATATTTAAGTCTTTTATCCACCTTGAATTTATTTTAGTGTATGGTGTAAGTTGGTGCTCAAGTTTCATTTTTTTGCACATAGCTGTCCAGTTCTCCCAACACCATTTGTTGAAGAGGCTATCTTTACTCCATTTTGTGTTACTGCCCCCTTTGTCGAATATTAATTGACTGTAGAGAGTTGGGTTGATTTCTGGGCTCTCTGTTCTGTTGCATTGGTCTATGTGCCTGTTTTTATGCCAGTACCAGGCTGTTTTGATTACAGTGGCCTTGTAATACAGTTTGATATCAGGTATTGTGATCCCTCCTACTTTGTTCTTTTTTCTCAAAATAGCAGCTGCTATTAGGGCTCGTTTATGGTTCCATATAAATTTTTGAAGTGTTTGTTCTATGTCTGGGAAATATGCCATTGGTACTTTAATAGGTATTGCATTGAATGTGTATATTGCTTTGGGTAGTATGGACATTTTGATGATGTTAATTCTTCCAATCCATGAACAAGGTATATGTTTCCATTTGTTTGTGTCTTCCTTGATTTTGTTCTTCAGGGCTGTGTAGTTTTCTGCATACAGGTCTTTTACCTCCTTAGTTAGGTTTATTCCCAGATATTTTATTTTTCTTTTTGCTATATCGAATGGGATTTTTTCCTTGATTCCTGCTTCTGCTGATTCATTGTTGGTATACAAAAATGCCTTTGATTTCTGGATATTGACTTTGTACCCAGCTGTTTTGCCAAATTCATTAATTAGTTCGAGCAGTTTTGGGGTAGAGTCTATAGGATTTTCCATGTACACTATCATGTCATCTGCAAACAGTGACAGTTTTGCCTCCTCCTTTCCTATTTGGATGCCTTATATTTCCTTTTCTTGCCTGATCACTGTGGCTAAAACTTCCAATACTATATTGAATAGAAGTGGTGAAAGTGGACATCCTTGTCTTGTTCCTGATCTTAGTGGAAAAGCTTTTAGTTTTTGCCCATTGAGTATGATATTGGCTGTAGGTCTCTCATATATGGCCTTTACTATTTTGAGAAATGCTCCCTGTATTTCCACTTTGCTGAGTGTTTTTATCAAAAATGGGTGTTGTACCTTATCGAAAGCTTTTTCCGCATCTATTGATATGATCATGTGATTTTTGTCTTTGCTTTTGTTTATGTGATGTATTACATTTACTGATTTGCGAATGTTGAACCATCCTTGTATACCTGGGATGAATCCCACTTGGTCATGGTGTATGATCTTTTTGATATATTGTTGGATGTGATTTGCCAATATTTTGTTGAGGATTTTAGCATCTATGTTCATCAGCGATATTGGCCTGAAGTTTTCTTTCTTAGTTGTGTCTCTATCTGGTTTTGGAATTAAGATGATGCTGGCTTCATAAAAAAAATTTTGGGAGTTTTCCATCCTTCTGGATTTTTTGGAATAGTCTGTGGAGAATAGGGGTTAGCTCTTCCTTAAATGCTTTGTAGAATTCTCCTGTGAAACCATCTGGTCCAGGGCTTTAGTGTGATGGGAGTTTTTTAATTACTGCTTCAATTTCTTTAGCTGTTATTGGTGTATTTAGATTTTCTGCTTCTTTTTCACTGAGTTTTGGAAGATTGTATTTTTCTAGAAATGTGTCCATTTCCCCTCGGGTTTCAAATTTCTTGGCATACAGTTCTTCATAGTAATTTCTTACAATCCCTTTTATTTCTGTGGTATCAGTTGTAATCTCTCCTCTTTCATTTCTGATTGTGTTTATTTGTGTCCTCTCTCTTCTTTTCTTGGTGAGCCTCCTTAAAGGCTTGTCTATTTTGTTTACCTTCTCAAAGAACCAACTCCTGGATTCATTGATCCTTAAAATTGTGCTTTTAGTTTCTATGTCATTTAATTCTGCTCTAATCTTGGTTATTTCTTTCCTTCCACTTGCTCTGGGCTGTCTTTGTTGTTGTTCCTCGAGTTCTTGTAGGCATAGGGTTTGGTTGTTTGTTTGAAATGTTTCTATCTTCTTTAGGTAGGCCTGTATTGCTATAAACTTCCCTCTCAGGACTGCCTTTGCTGCGTTCCATAAGTTTTGGGTTGTTGTGAGATCATTTTCATTTGTTTCCAGAAACGTTTTGATTTCTTCCCTAATTTCATTCTTGGCCCATTCGTTGTTTAGTAGCATACCAACCAGTGTCCATGATTTTGGGTGCTTTGGGTTTTTTTCTTTGGGGTTGGTTTCCAATTTCAGTCCCTTTGGTCAGAGAAGATGCTTGGTATGATTTCAATTTTCTTGAATTTTTGGAGGCTCGTTTTGTGTCCTATCATGTGGTCTATCTTTGAAAATGTTCTATGTGCATTTGAAAAGAATGTGTATTTAGCTTCTTTGGGATGAAGGGCTCTATATATATCAGTTAAGTCTATTTCGTCTAAGGTGTTTAATGCCACAATATCTTTTTTGATAATTTGTTTGGAAGATCTGTCCATTTTTGATAGTGGGGTGTTAAAATCCCCTACTATAATTTAACAAAAATTTTTTGAATGAAGTTAAGACAACTAAGTGCTAACACAGCCATATTACGGAAAAAACAAACAAATTTTTTCACCAACCCAATACATCAACACCTTAGGGTATTAGTAGTTTTCATTAGCAACATTTCCCACAGAACTGGAGGCTAATCCTTTCCTACCATCATGGGAAAGACACCAAGGAACAGTATAGAAACAGAAGAGATGTGTGCTAAATTTCAAGAGGAATATATAGAAGTTTATCAATTGGGGAGTGGAGAAAGGGCATTTGTTATGGATTGAATTGTGTTTCTCCAAAATTCATATGTTGAAGTCCTAACCCCATGTGACACTATTGGAGGTAAGGTCTTTAAGGATGTGATTAAGGTTATGTAAAGCCATAAGAATGGATCTCTAATCTCATAGAACTTGTACCCTTTTCTTATAGAAGAGGAAAGGCACCAGCACTTTCTTTCTCTCACATGAGATGGTGGCTGTCTGTAAGACACTAAGGGATTCCTCAACAGAACCCAAACATGCTGGCACACTAATTTCAAACTTCCAACCTTCAGAAGTGAAAAAATGTATTTATATTTTTTAAGTAACCCAGTCTGTAATATTTTGTATAGCAGCCCAATCAGTCAAATACAGCATCCAAGCAGAAAGCATAGCCTGTACAAAGCACCATAAGAAAAGAGTTTGCAAAGAGGTTGTATTGAGTTCAGATTGTGAAAGCCCTTTACATCATTGAAATGGTTTTCAAAACCACTAGGCCTACAGGATTTAGTCCAGTGTGTGTTCTTTTCAGCAATAGTTTTGATATTTTAGGTCAAAATTACAAGAAAAAAGAAACCAGTCAGGAAATAGGGCTGCAATCAATGAAAGCTCCAGGAGCTAACAA